ACGCACACAACTATACTCAACATATCGTGTGCTTTGCTACGAGTCTGCCTTTTTAAATCATGTCTTCGCCAGTTTTCGTTGTGATGACGAAAAGGGAAATTGAACGGAAATCAAAGGCTAACGTTGTGCTCTTTTATGCATGAATAGGTCAATCGGATGAGTAGAGCTTACGTTTTAATTGGATTTCACATAGTTTTGCCTTCTGCAATTTCGATTTTGCTTTATCAGCACCTTCAGCAGGACTCGAACGTACAACCTCTACACGTTAGCAACTACTTTATAGGGCAGGTGGCAATTTCAAGTAGGGTAGGGCATTTTCTCATGCCACATTTTGTGGTGGGATTGTCGATGAGGCAGTTGTAACTGATCTACTGTTACTCTTGAAGAGCTACTTATAAACGAAAGAGAAGTAATATAGTCTATTGCGGAAAATCAACAAGTCATCTTATCACTTGTATAAAATGGCTTTTAATTTTTGTCGAGAGGTGTAAGTTTAACACATCATTGACATCACATCGTTTGGCATAGAGACGATTGACTGGTTAGCAGTTTTGAAAGCACAGGCTTTCATCGAAGCGAAGAATGATGTGCTGAGCAGCGCCAGATCAAAGCGTCGTTATGAGATATATGTTTAGACAAAATATGGGTTCCTATAGATCCATTTTTAGATCCATTTTTAGTTAAAAATGATAAATAAGCAAGTATGCAATACATGTAGTGATGAGTTGATTTCTTTTCTTAATTTATCGTTTTCCCCAAAGCTCGACGCTGCCATGTGAATATTTCAAATATTCACAATTAGAACTTTAGGAAGGTTGACTCACCGCCTGAGTAATGGATTGATTTAAGTCGATTTAGGGGAGGTACGAAGGAATGCTGGACGGAAAAGTTGGCTGGTATAGAATTCGCGAGTTGACCCCAGACAGTGGAACCAAGACGATCGTCTTGGAATAAACATTGTTGGATCACATGCATGTTATTGTTCCTCTGATCTATCCGTGCTAGGCTGTCGTTTATTTTTTGGTAGACGTAGTGTGTGAGTAAAGGCAATACTTTACGAAAATCACATTTTTACTGGTAGGGCCGAGGATTCCAGTAGGTCATATATCTGAGATGTTTTCACCCTATTGCGTGTGCATTTTCATACGATGCTATGAGTAGACCTTTCGTCTCCATTACATTTCACATAGCCTTGCCTTCGCAAAAAAGTATTCTCATTGAGGCTGAAGTCGACTGCAGTGTCGACTTAGCATCAACTGGTCACCATGATAGTGCAGCTACGCCACGTCTATTCAAGTCATTGTGGGAAAATGCATTCACTTTTATAACCGCAAACAAAATATGGTGAGTACTCCTCGCTTGTAATCATCTATGTTAGTCATATTTAGATGATGAAGACTTTTGAGACCTCTTATTCAACATTTACAGCATCATAGTTACATTACATAATTGTGGGAGAATTGATTTATCAGTCCTTCATCAGTTTATGTCTAGCTTAATGATTAGAAATGTTAATTTCGCTCTTTACACAAAATTCGACTATGCTACTCAAATGGATTTCAGTAGACTCAACGTAGCATCTATATGCTGGCGGCTGGTGCTCTCTACAGCACTATTTAGTGCTCTTGGTACATTCTGGTGATGCTTATTCCATTCTCTATCTTCGCATGTAGGTTAATTGCAGTTTTGCACTCTTCGTTGTCAAAGCGCCACTTTACCAATGTGGAGCCCCTATTTTGCACATTTTATCATCATTTGACTGCAACTTGCCCCTATTTATGCGACAGCCTTTTAGGCGCCCAAGCTGGGAAAGGATTAACCAGTACCGAAGAGT